CTGCCGTCTGCCCCGCCCCTCCACCCAGCCCCTGCGTTTGACACAAACCCCCACGTGCAGCACCTTTTGATTTAAGCTGGGGGCTCGGTCAAAGTACTGAATCCTGGGCTCCGACATGTACTAGTATAGACTTTCTTTTGGGCCCAGAAATATGCATTAGCTATGAGTACCCTGGAACTTTGTGATGTAGGCAGACTGAGAACTGGGCTTTGGAAACACTTGTCTAGTTTGAAACAGGGCCCTTGGAACATTTTCTAAGTGTAGCAATTTCTTTTTCTGCCTTAAGGAGAGCCTTTTCTTTCAGATGAATGAAACGGGGTTCTTACTGGGGCTTTGCCGCTTTATTTTTGTTGTCATGCCTTAGGGAACAGATCCTCCGTGTTAAGGCTGAAGAAGATAAAATTCCATTGCTTGTAGTGGGAAACAAGTCTGACCTGGAAGAACGGAGGCAGGTGAATGTTGAGGAGGCGAGGAGTAAAGCAGAGGAGTGGGGTGTGCTGTATGTGGAGACGTCGGCCAAAACGCGTGCCAACGTGGACAAGGTAGGCCTGTGTTCTCCATGGGTTTCTAGGAGACAGTCATAGAAACAGCAGAAAATACATGTCTCGTCGGGTCTGTTTGGTTTTGAGAGAAGCAAGTACGGAACCCAGGGGAAGCCTGAATTTTCCAGATGTCTGAGTCATTAGAAGGAGAAGTGTTTACCCCCAGAGTCCTTTCTTTTGGCCACGAGGCTCTGTTAGATTGAGCTTAATGTTGCACAGCCCTGGGGGTAAGGTAAGAGGAAGTCAGTGTTTGTGAAGATTGAACTGCAAAGACCCACTCGAGTAGCTTCTCTGTGCTTGCTCCCCTTCTACTTGTGTGGTTTTACAGCAGGACCCGCTGTACTGGGCTGCTGCTTCCTTGGAGATTCTGTGAAGGGATGTGGCATTTCTTTATTTGTTCTCATGAGTTAGTGGTTAGATTTATTCTTTTCATCTTACTGTGCTCCGGCAGGGCCAAGGTGTCCTGCCTTTATTACTTGGTCACTAAATTGTGTTTGCTTTTATGGGTGGCCCCTCCAGGGGTCTTCCTCCATCTTAGGAATCCCTGAGACACCTTCTCATTCAGATCACCAAAGCTATGAAAGGGTGAGCTTGACGATGGTCAGTGACAATTTGAAAACCCACCGACCAGTGAGTCCTCACTCACTGATAAGCCTTCAGTTAGTTTTAAAGACTTATTTATTTATTTAGGTATACAAGAACTGGGGTACAATCCAGAGGTGTGGGGGAGTGATGAGAGGATTCACCAGAGTGGGGAGCAGAACAGGCAGATCAATGAAGCACACTGCTGAGGGGAGCAGCGGGTGGGTCAGGAGAGGTCTGCCACGCCATGAGGGTTACCTCCTTGGCGGGAATCGAACTCAGGCTGCAGTGGCTGTGGATAGCTTCACAGTGCTATTTTTTAACCCCATGTACCACCAGGGAGGGCCTCTATTTTTAATTAAGGTTCAGAGTGATTGTCACATAGCTAGAATAGACAGCCTTAAAGAGGAGGCTTTCCCACTCCTGTGCATTGTTCATTAATCCCTCACGGTTAGTGCTCTCTTAACATCTACACACATAGGCCTTAGTGGTGGTGGAGGGGTAAAGTCTTAGTGCTATCACCTTTGTGCCCTGAGCTTGACCCCAGGCCAGGGAGCTGACCCACATATAGCACAGCAGATCTCTCCTTTGTCTCCTTCTGTTCCCCTCAGCCGTGTATTTTAATACATCTGCCTGTTCTGCTCCCCATTCTGTCTCTGGTGAATTCTCTCACCCCCTGCATCTCTGGCCTACGCCCCAGCTCTTCTAAGCATGAACAAATAAATACATCTTTTTAAGAAATCTCAAAAAAAAAAAATCCCAAAACAAAACAAATCTACACACATCACTTGGCAGTCCAGCAGGGGATACATCTATACATCTGCTCTGAGTAATGCAGCATCAACAACTGAACTCCCATGTCATTTTTAGATTTCTCTTCCTTCTGGAGCAGTAGTTCTCCTTTACTTCTTAAAGGGTAAGAGATTGATCACTAAGGTTTACTTTAGCTTGAAATGATTTTAGAAGAATATTGGTGCTTCAAAAAATTGGGATCAGAAGTTCATTTTAGAAGCACTTTGCCAACACCTACAACATTAGTCTGTCTAGTCTACAATGTCAAGTATGTTCCCTTGTCAGCTACTTTTTTTTTAAGATTCATTTATGCATACAGAACTGGGGTACAAGCCAGAGGTGCAAGGGCATTGAGAGGATTCACCAGAGACAGAGTGGGGAGCAAAACAGGCAGATCAGTGAAGCACACTGCTGGGGGAGGGGAGACAGCGGGCGGGACAGCTGTGCCTTGTGGTCACCTACAGGGCGGGGCTCGAACTCATGCTGAAGCTGCTGCTGCTCGCTCACAGTGCTGTGTCCTAACCCCTTCTGCCACCAAGGAGGGCCCAGTCAGCTACCTTTTGTTCGTATTCTCAGACTCTCATGTGGATTCTTGTGCTATTCCATATCTCTTCGTTCTATCAGATTGTTTCCTCATTAACACACACTCAGGAAAATCAGAACTACTCTTTGTTAAAAAACATCAGAAAGGCGGGCCCTCCTGGTGGTGCAGCGGGTTAAAGCACCAGCACTGAGAAGCTAAAGCCACGTCCGCATGAGTTCTATCCCCGCCTGCCCCGGAGGTGACCACATGGCGTGGCAGACCTCCCCTGACCCGCCCGCTGCTCCCCTCAGCAGTGTACTTCGTCCATCTGCCTGTTCTGATCCCCACTCTTCTGTCTTCTGGTGAAGCCTCTCACCATCCGCATCTCTGGCCTGTACCCCAATTCTGTATGAATAGATAAACCTTAAAAAAAAAATCAGAAAGGCTTTCTCACACGGAAGAGTCTGTGTTTTTTTATGCGGGTGGGGTGTTTTTTGGTGGGGCAGGTTGAGGTAGACTAGGGTGGAAGATGGGGGTGGGGCTGGGGGGCTGTTGCACATCTCCCCATCCTTTTGTGGGCCAGCTGGACCTGACAAACAGGAACCAGCGGAAACTTATGACTGGCAGCATTGTATTCACTGAGAAACAGTTTACACCAAAGGAGGGTGCTGATAAGATCTGCAGCTGAACAACTTTGTCATCATTTTAAGTTGGATATTATCCATTCCCTTCCTCTCTTGCCTTTTGCTGTTAGAACTGAAAGAAAACCCTGCAACATTTGAAGCTCATGTAGCTGTTATGAATGGGGTACTTTCCTAAGAGGCTAAAGAAAGGTGTGCTTAGGACAGCCTGACCTGGTTTGGGGGAGCTCCTTTTCTTTTCCAGGAGCTAGTGGTAAAAGCAGGTGGATTCCCATACTCAAAGTTTGATCGGGCTTTCAGCAAAACATGGAGAGGTTCTTGAGAAGAAGCAGCTTTTATTTTCTACAAAAATAAAAGTTTTCAGTTTTGTGTGAACGCCCAAGGACAAAGCCTGTGCTCCATCACACACTTTGAGCTTCCCTCATTCTCCATGAGAAATCTTAGATGTCTCTTTGCAGGAAGCATATTTTGTCTTCTGGAGTATA